AATTCTAACCCTAAATCCTAACTTAACTATAAAAAAAAAGCCTACAAAAAAGGCCCTAAAAAATTTTAAAAATTGTATCCAAATTTCACGATAATCCGATTTCACGATAATCCGTGACATATAATCTGCAATGCTATATAATTTAATTATAAATTAAAATTAATTAATTGTAATAGTACACGTGAAGATGCCGCACGATTTTTGGTAAACAGTTGGATGGATGATGAAAGTAATAATGAATTGGTTGAGGAGCTTGGACATACGGAAAATCCTATTGAAGATCACGATGATTATGGTGTCTCTGATGATAATTGGGTGCCTGATCCAATGGACGCTGGCCCTGGTCGTGCTTATTTTCAAATTACTTATTATTCATGTGAGTTTAAACTTATACATTAACGTTTAAAATTCAGACTACAAATCATCGATGTATCGTTCGGCTGATATCACCAATTTACTTGTGAGCCTCTTCGACACTACGGATGTGATTACAGAAGAAATCCAAAATCAGATGGCTTCTTGTTTGTTATCGAAATTGGATTATGATACAGGAAGAGAGGTATTTCTCGTAAGCACGTTATTATTACAAGCTGCATATATCTAATTATTCTAAATCACTGCAGCAAACTAAACTCGAATTATTTAAGCTACGTTTTGGGGAGGCAAAAATGGCACCCACAGAGGTCATGATCAAGGATATTGCTGATTCCAAAAGGATTGACACTAATATATATAATGAAATATCAATATCCAAGGCAGTCGGATTGGAAAATGTTAAAGAAGTATGTATTTTACTGTATTTAAATCATTATATTATGATGTACTAAAAAAATTTTTTTGCAGTCTGTGTTACATGGTTCCATTATCTCTAAATTATTTTGGCCTATTCTAAAAAATGAAGAGTTCAATGTGCCTAAACCTATATCAGAGTATGAATTGATTATGTATTGCTTGCTTAACTGCTGATACCTAACTAACAAATGATCTTTGTCATACGTAAGGAACATGCAGAAATACGAAAACGCTTTTCAAATTTTGAAACCTAGGAGAGAATTAAAATGGCTATCATCACTTGGAAAGGTTCACGTGGAATTAGAATTACAGGATCGTACGCTAGAATTCGAAGTTGCTCCGATATATGCGACAATCATTTACCACTTTCAAGAACAAGGTTGATGTTAATTATTTACGTCAACGATTTTAAGTTTTAATTTATATTGTTATAAACAATTATGTTTTCTAGATACGTGGGACCTTCGTTCTTTGGCTGATAAAATGAATATAGATCCTTCGAAATTAAAAGGAAAAATTGGCTTCTGGGAGGATCGTGGTGTTTTGAAACTGATTGAGAATGATAAATGGATTGTACTTGAAGTTGCCGAAGCTTACCACTGATAAATATAAATTAGGCTTTTATAAATTGTGTACGGTGCACAC